TAATAACATACTAGGCATTTTTTTAAAAGGCAACGTATCTGGACAACACAATCTTATGTTTGTTTACTCACTGATTATTAGACCTTACTCTACTAAATGCATGGAGGGTTAGATCTATCAGTGTGCTTTTCTCCAAAGGAAAGAAAACATTGCAGGGTTGTCCTTGCAACTTCTCACGCCTCTGTAATTTCATGGATTAAAGAGAATATGCAAGTTTGACAGTGCTGTACCACTGGAAGGTGATAGGCACTCAGTGAAATATAGCCTATTTGGTGAAAAGACTGAGAAAAAAAATTGTTCCTGACATTAAGCATTTGTTACAATGCCATTATAACATGTTATTAAAAAGCTGTGTAAGGAAGATCTAGTTCTCTACTTTTGCTTGTCTGCTTCCCTAATCCTCAAATAAAAATATTTAACAAGTATGTTCATTTCATGAAATATGTAGGGTAAGACTCTCAACTATCACTTTTCAAAGAGAAGTAGTCAGTTTCCGTTTTCTCCAGGAGCAGTAGTTAGGCAAAGACTAGTACTAGATATGTCAAAGGGCACAGACCAAATCATACAGTCTTAAATGTATAATGTGAAACTAATCCTATCTTCTTTCTTTAGAGTATTCAAGAAGACAGAGATGTTGGTACATGAAAGAAAGGCATAGTTCAAAGAAGAGTGTAGTCTAACATTGTCCATGAAGATCCTACCCCCCCACCCCCACCATCTTTGGCTGCTCTTGAAAAGCTAAAAAGGATTGGATAATGAGATGTTCTGGGTTTCCCGTTTTTCTAAGCACATTCCACAGCTTGACATGAATGCCCTTCTATAATCAATGAAGCACATACTGACTCCTTTTTGATATTCTTTGGCTTTCTCAATTATCCAGATTACATCAAAAATAATGTCTGGCATCTCTTTTTCCATGTAGAGCTATAATCTGCATTGGATGATCCTATGCATTATTTTGGTAGCATGTGAAATTAAGGATATTGTATGGTAGTTTACACATTCTGTTAAGTCTCCTTTATTTGGTATTGTAATGTAGATTGACCTGTTCCAATCTGTTGGCCACTGTGTCATTCACCAAATTTGCTGGCATAGCTGGTTAGAGCTTTTACTGATTCTTCTTCTGCTGCTTGACTTTTCTGTGGGTATTCTATCAGTTCCTGTAGCCTTTCAACTTGTTAATGACCAGAGTACTGATCTAATTTCATCTTCTAGTACTAGAGGTTCTTGTAAGTATGGAATATCTTCTAGGATATCTTAGATTTTTATATCTCCACTGTACAGTATTTCAGCATGTCTGTCTGTCTGTCTGTCTGTCTGTCTCTCTCTCTACCTATCTATCTATGGTGTAAGACCAATCCTTAATTAAAAGATTCAGATTTTAAAGTCAGGCTGTACATTCAAAATGTTCCATATTCTTTAAAAAAGTATTTTATACTGATGTTGGTTATAAACCAAGGAACTTTTTGTAAGGTCTAAAAATACATATAGAACAAGTTGATGGCTTAAAAAGAAGTTTTTAGTTCCAATGTAGTAACATTTTATTCTCAGAATAATGTAGACAATCTGAAAATGCTAAGTATGTTTATTAGAGTCTGTATTCAGCATGTATTATGGAAGACATGTTGTATTAAATCAGTCCCTAAACAATATATCTTACTTGATCCTTTGTTTTGATACACAGAAAAAAATGGAGACTGACTAAAACAGTCTTGAGAAATACATCTCTGGCTAGATTGACCTCTACATTTTCTAGGGCTTTAGGAACTAAAAAAAACCTCAAACCCATGTATTAAGAATGTTTGCAAAGATGAAAAGATTAGTTCACAAGAATTCTGGGTTAAAAGTTCTCAGCTACTCTATGGTCTTGAATTAGATGAACACATATTTTATTTTTTCTCCCTGGATCCCATAACTTATTTTCAGTGCACAACATCAACAATGCCCCATAATTCAGACAGCTGTTCCATATTTATTTTTAAGCATATCTTTCAGTGTGCACTCTCAATCTATATTTATTGCCTATTGTGCAAACTCTGCACTTTTAATTTCACCTGTTGTTTCCTCTAATAATTACTAACATGGCTCCAGCCACCAATCCCCAGTGTGAAGGGTCAGAGTTGTGCCCTTTGATTCTACCTAGGAAAGTAAGCAATCACATTATTTCAGTCTATTGAAAGATGGAGATGTGCCTGTGCAACATTTTCTGTTCAATTGTTTATAGCTGAGAAAATAAAAGACAGGCAGGAATCTTAGGCCGTTTAGTGGCAGGCTCAAAAAAATTTAAGATATGGACTTTTGGCACAATCATACTTCACGCTGTTGGAAAGAACATTCTGGGGTGGTGTTTGTAAATGTTGATCTTAGAATTCTTAGAATTCTTTCTCCAGAACTTCATTTTTTCCTTAAATTCTCATGCATGTAATTCCTTCCTGAAACTAACTGAGAAAACTCAGTTCAAATTGAGAGCCATTAATTAAATACTGGATGTAGAAGAATATACAGCAATATTAATTTAAACTGACTTTCAGTCAAAAAGTTCCTAATTCAAATATCACACATGTAGACAAACCACTGTGCCTTCAGCCTCCACTTTCTCTCTTTTCTAACATAATGCTGAACTACCCAATCAGGTGGTGATAAGGTTTCTTGATCTGACACAAGGACACAAGCCAAGTGAAAGTGTAAACCAGTTCACAAATGCTCCTGCTCCCTGTAGCAGCTGTGTCAAACACAAGCTCTCTACAGAAACCTTTGCCACTACTGAACTAACTGATCCTGGTTCAGATGTTTACACCATCAACCTCAGAAAATCTTCCTCGAAAACAATGTGCATACAGAAAGTATCATCACTGTATCTCTTATTTTATATTGCAAGTTCAATGATTTCTGATTAAACACAGGGCTGGTTAAGGTGTAACCCAAAGCTGCTGAACCACAATTTCCAGAAACCCTCTGTTAGCCCTGCTGGCTACAGCTGCTGGGAAGTACAGCTTAGAATATCTGGAGAGAGAGATGTTTTCCACTCCTGAATTAAGGAGGAAATATTCCATGAGCACCTCCTAGGACTTGCTGATATTACTGCTGCTATTGGCTGCTTGCAAAAAAAGAAGCATACTTCCCGCTTCAACATTTAAAAATACCTTAAGCAATGCACATCCTTATCTACTGCTTTACTCGTTAAGAAGTGATCTATTAATCTCTCCTTATGCCACGTTTTCACTGTTACCATCCACAGTTCTTGAGCTGCACATGCATGCGAATAATGCATGCTTTCTAATTTAAAAAAACAAAAGAGTCAATGAAACTGGAAAGTGTGGAGGTAGGCAAGCCAGTCCTTTGTACGCTAACATATATGCAAGCAACAACATACTAGGAGGAATGGTCCCTAAGGAAAATTGCTAAATGGGTATGAAAGGACCCGTCATTTAGGTGACATTAGTTATCCACTTCTTAAGCCTCCCTAACTAACATTTTGGAACCCTGCCGGATAAGAATTCTGGGAATTGAATGTCTAATACATCTGGAGGTTGGGGAAGACTGCCATAGATCAATCATTTTATTATCTATCTATCTCACAGTGCTTATCAATATGGCAACAAGAGATCTTAGGTTTAGTAAGAGCTTCTAATATAGAAAGGAAACCCACTGAAGCAAACATAAAATCTCTCATCTCCTGTCCTTAACATTTAATGTTAAGAAATCCATATCCTGCAATATACAACTGAAGCTCATGTCAATGTCAGCAAGTAACTTCCACTGCATATAAAATATGAATTTTAGCATCCAATTCAACTACAGCTTCCAAAAGAATATTACAACACATATGCATTAATCACTGAAGTTGCTTTCTTTAAAAAAAGCTAAATGGGCAATATATATCTTAATACTAATGCTAAATACAGTGGTATGTTGCCAACAGTAGAAGGGCTTACTGCTAACAGAACAGGACAAGGCATTCTCCTCCTCCTTGCAAATAATCAAAATCAGCTTTGGAAGCTCCACCAATCTATTTGAATGATTTTGAGGACTGCAATGGAGAAAGGAGAAAATGCCATTTTTGTGAATGGGCTTCCATTCACGAAGTTCTATAGATTGATGAAAACGGGTTGAGTCTGCTGCTATTTAACTCAAATCCATTATTATTATTTTTAAAACTTATCTATTTTATGTGTCACTAAATTAATAAGCAGCATTTCACTACTGAAAATTCTAAAGTCCCTGTACTGGTGGAAGAATCCTGAAGACAACATCTGATCCCAGAGAATCTCAATATTCTGATACAGGACTATACAGAAATGGTATACAACAGCTTTGAATCAATCAGCTCTGTAATACCAGGAAGACAATAAAAATCCTAATCATAAAATTGGATTAGGTCTTAATAATTCTGAAGGATGGGTGTTTTGTCTTTCAGCAGTTATGCTTAAGGGATTCCACAGGGCTCTATCTGATCTTCCACACTGTTTAGCTTTTACACAGGGCCATCTGGAATAGCAGGCTGAGGTTTTCAAATATACATTCAGCCCACTCTTTTCATGAAACCCAGGAGAATTCTAAGATTATTTGTTTTGGGCACAATCACTGATTGTATTTATTAGATTTAAATCCTGCTTTTTTCTGGGAGCCAAAGGCAGCTTACATGGGGATCTCCCTTCATTCTGTCCCCACAACGACCCCAAGAAGCAGGCTGAACTAAGAGAGAGCAACTGGCCCAGTTGCCTAGTAAATTTCCATGGCTAAGGATGAACTAGAACCTGAACCTTCCCTGTCTTAATCTATCATATCAGCTCATTTTTGCTGCAAGACACATAAGATCTTGGCAGTCTGGATTCCAAATTAATGTCTCTCTCAAATTGAACTCAACTACTGGTGAATTCATAGATATGTCTATGTAGTGATTTTGGTAACAGTACAGAAGACATTTGCTACTGACCTCTAGTTATTATAATATGTTCTCCCTTTAACTCTTGTTTCTTCAGCATTTCAGCCATACTTACTCTGATAAGGTGTTGCAAGCTGATCCTGGCTCATTCTTAGAGGTAAAGAGCTCTCTGTGGACTGCTCTCCTGAAAGCACTTTCTTTGTTGGATAATACTTAGGCTTGATAACATATTCATGTGCTTGGCCATGATGCAAATTCATCATCAAACTCTGGGATGAAAGAGGGATAATTCTGTTTGAAAAAATAAGAAAAACAGAGAAATTGATAACAAAACATTATATTGACCAGAAATGAAATTAATGATAACATAAACAATGAATAATACTTTTAAGACTATGGCAACATATTTAAATCTTCTTTAAAAAATCAGCTTAAAAAAAATCAGCTAAGCAAACTTGCCACATGATAGCTGCAAACACACAAGAAAATCACAGTCCTCACTTCTTACAATTGAACACTAGTAGGTGCCCATCCTTCCTATGATTGTGGAGACCTAAAGCTCTCAGTTAACCATGATGCAGAACATAAGCATATACTTCAGCTATAAGCTTAAAGCAGTAGAGAAAAAAAGGAGGGAAGGGAAAAAAAGACAAGTCCCATATGTTACTGGAATAAAACCAATCTTCAATACAATTACAGTGGATTCTGAAAGAGATTCAAGAACTTAATTAACTGAATATTTCTACTAACCCAACGTCTTTCATGTTCAGTGATTACAAAGGATAAATAACAGTTCGTGATGTGGATAAAGCCTATAACAGATCAGTAGTCTACCAACCATTTAAATCAGCAGCCAGAAGCACACAGACATCCTAAAAGAAGGATGGGCAGAAGTAGATTTAGTTCTATTAGATCTTTGTTTAATTGCATGAGGTTAGCAAGAATTTCTGCCTTCCCACTGTATAACAAAACCCACAACAAAATTGCTACTTCTTTCTCTTCCTAAAAGTTATATTACTAAGTAAAGAAAGCTTGGATAGCTAGGGATGGATATTTAATGTAAAAGGACTATGAGTGTTTTTCAGTTCCAGTCTTCAAGTAAATTCGTGGACTCTGATTTTTCAAATTTTAAGTCTCTTGCATCTCTCTCCAGTTGGTGGATCTTGGAGTTCTAGTGAAAAACAAAACAGATTTTGCAAGCACAAAGCCTCCCAATCTCTGCAGAAAGGGAACAATGTAGAAACTTCTTTCTTTTCCTTAGCGTTATCATTAATCGTTTAGAGTCTTTTGGAGTGGGCAGCTGTAATAAATGTAATAAATCATCATCACCTTGATCACACAATAATGATTTATGTTTATATACTGGCTACATTTACACATAACAGTAATGATTCCTGGATTGCCATTGCCTCTCAATCCTCTTGTGAAGGCCACTGCCAAGGTATAATAGTATACAGTAGACTCTAGCCAAGGTGGAGCATTTTGGAGGCCTATTGATCTCACAGAAATTCACCATATATATGTTTACACAGAGACCACTAAGATTTCAAAATGCTTATGTTTACAGGAATGAGTTATTAAATAGGAGTTGATAGCAACAGTTTTGACATATGAACTTGTAACAAGGAAACCACACGTTTTGATAATCAGCATTTGGCCAATTTAAAGATTCAACTATGTATATGCATCAACAAAGATTTAAAACTTGCTGTTAGCTCCAAAGGCCATGTTACAGTCAATATATGGGACCCAACAGTGGCCAAACACAATCAGCGGGTCATGAAAACTTAACACCCCATATGTTGCTTTTATGCAGACAGAAATTACTGTGGGACTTGTGATGACCTCCTTGTTGAAACAAATTTAAAATCATTACAGTTTATAGTAGAAGCTCAAGTATCACTCACTCTAGAGCTCAAGAAAATTATCCTGATATAAGGAATTCTTGGACTCCCTTTATCAAACAGTTATGACAGGCAGAGTTGAGAAAAATAACTTTTGGCAAGGAAAATGATGTCTAGACTAAATAAGCCAGCCCTAACTTGAGCTTTCTTTTATAAATGAATGTTATTTATTGGAAGCCTTATACTTCCTGCGCAGCCAACAACTGCTTAAAGAAACTAATCTTTTTTCAAATCGTGCCCTACCCTCTTTCTACTCTTTTCATCAAATAAAGGAAAAAGAAATCAGGTAAATTTTATATGTCCAAATATACTCAGAAACTGCTTTAAGACTCTAAATGACAGAGTGTATATTTTCTAATTTAAAATTGTCAGAGTATTTCCATTCTTTAGTATATTTCTTTTCCTTACAAAATCTAGTGACATACTTGTCATTTCCCCCCATGCGGTTATATTTACATATAACAGACAATGAAAGTCTATCAGAAGTACCATATATCATTCCACAATAAACTGCCAGCATAACAAATTCAGCCAAGAACTAGAAATGTTTTCTGTCAGTTGCATAATAACAAACAGAGACTGGCTAGTGGCTATTATTGGTTACTACCTTTCTATCTGAGAATCTATATACTAACTGTGTCAGTACTATTAGTTCAAACACAAGCAAAATGGGGATGTTTGTCCCAAAATACTGGCAAAGAGCCTTCTTGGTACTAAAAGAGGCTGTCCAGGAAAGATGTTAATCTTGGCCCAGCCGCGGACTGCAAGGCACTCTTGCCTTAACCAATGGAGCTCTTACTGCTGCCCCCAGTTAACAGAATAAATTGGGGTTGAATATTCCTTTTCAAGAAAATTCAAATCACCCAACAATTAGTTTGCTAGGTATGGTATAACAGTGACAGAGTTCAAGCAGGACCACAGAAACCTAGCTTCAAATCCAGCTTCAGTCATGAAAACTCACTAGGAGTTCTTGGGCTGGTGTTGAGGAGCATGGAATGGAAAAGTACTGTACCCGTGATTCTTGCAGGACAGCAAGGATTAAATCCTTGCCTAGCTTTAACCTGTAGTTAATCTTTCCCTATTAACCTATAGCTGAATTTAGTGATCCTTCTCAGGGCAAAGATGTATTCACCCATAAATGACCCTTCATGGTTAGCCTATATCTAACCATAGTTACCTATTAAATGTATTCACCTGTAGAAGACATCTCCTGAGAAAACAAAAGATAAGGGGATGGGTCCACAGCATAGAAGAGATCAAAAGGAAATCCCAGCTAAGGTGATAAAGAACTTCCTGAACAATCTTAATCTCTAAATGTTATACCTCCCTAAAGCAAAATGTATAAAAATTCTGATTTAAGTTTGGGGAGCCTCTTTTCATAGAGGTATCCCCTTTACTGCTGCACACCAATAAAAGAACTTTGCTCTAAAAGGTTTCTCACGTCCGGTGACGTTATTGGCAGCTGTCTTCGGGCAAGAACCCTGTTTTGGGTCCAACAGTGTTGCTGAGAGGAAAAAATTGGGAAAACACATCTTCCTGAAAGGTGGGATAAAAATCCAACAAACAAATAGAATCACATTTTTTCTCTTTTCTTCTTCGAGAAAGGCAGGAAGGCAGGAAGGAAGGGCAAGCGATCCAGTTTGGTGTAGTGGTTAAGGCATCAGGCTAGAAACCAGGAGACCATGAGTTCTAGTCCTGCCTTAAGCACAAAGCCATCTGGGTGACGCTGGGTCAGTCACTCTCTCTCAGCCCTAGGAAGGAAGCAATGGCAAACCACTTCCAAAAACTTTGCCAAGAAAACTGCAGGGACTTGTCCAGGCAGTCACCAGGAGTCAACACTGACTTGAAGGTACACACACACACACACACACACACACACTTCTTGGTGTAGGGGTTTTGAAATGCAGAATGC